TGGCCAGGTCGCAGTTGTAAATGAGAACTTGTTCTCAACTGGCTTACCTGGTTAAATAAAGGTGAAATAAAATAAAATAAAAAGTCTAAGAAGCGGTAGATCTGTTCTATGTGGGCTATTTCTATGCTTCCCGTTCTGAAATTTCGTTTTTGCGTCTTTTACTTTCAGATTAGTACACCTGAATATACAATATTTTTGGTTATGGAAAATATATTTCACGAACTGAAATTTGGCTAACTACTCAAATGTTTGTAACCAGGAAATGGCGGAGCGATTTCTGCATAGTGCACCTTTAACTAGGTAAATTAATAACACATTCCTATTTACAATGATGGCCTACCAAGAGGCAAAAGGCTTCCTGCGGGGACGGGGGATAAATTAAAAAAGTTGGACAAAAAAACACTCATCACGACAAGAGAGAGACCACTACATAAAGACCTAAGACGACAACACAGCATGGCAGCAAACATCGTACAGCCTGGGAAGAAGAGAGAACGTTGTCTGGCTGTTTGGTTGCTACAGCCTGAGCAGAGATGAGATAGTGACTTAAGGAATGAAAAATAAGAAAGTAATCAAATAAGAACTAAGTAATATACACAACTGAAATTGTATTATTTCATAGTGATTTCCTATTTTTCTATTGATGTCTACCCAATGTGGACCTGACAGAGAATGGAATATTTTAATGTTTAAGCTTTGGAATTTCCATTAAAAGGTTCTAAAATAATTTAGTCATTATTTCATAAAAAAAATAAAAAAAATTAATTGAAACCGAAATCATTCAGCACTAAACCGGTCTCTATAGTCTCCGTCCCTCTAGTTTCTCCCCCGTCCGTCCATCTCCCCCCGTCCTGCTAGTCTCTCCCCCGTCCGTCCATCTCCCCCATCCTGCTAGTCTCTCCCCCGTCCGTCCATCTCCCCCGTCCTGCTAGTCTCTCCCCCGTCCGTCCATCTCCCCCATCCTGCTAGTCTCTCCCCTGTCCATCCATCTAGTCTTCCCCTTCCTGCTAGTCTCTCCCCTGTCAGTCCATCTAGTCTCCCCCGTCCTGCTAGTCTCTCCCCTGTCCATCCATCTAGTCTTCCCCTTCCTGCTAGTCTCTCCCCTGTCCATCCATCTAGTCTTCCCCTTCCTGCTAGTCTCTCCCCTGTCAGTCCATCTAGTCTCCCCCGTCCATGCTAGTCTCTCCTCCCCTGTCCATCCATCTAGTCTTCCCCTTCCTGCTAGTCTCTCTCCCCGTCCATCCATCTAGTCTTTCCCCTTCCTGCTAGTCTCTCCCCTGTCCATCCATCTAGTCTTCCCCTCCTGCTAGTCTCTCCCCTGTCCATCCATCTAGTTCTCCCCCGTCCTGCTAGTCTCCCCCGTCCTGCTAGTCTCTCCCCTGTCCATCCATCTAGTCTTCCCCTTCCTGCTAGTCTCTCCCCTGTCCATCCATCTAGTCTTCCCCTTCCTGCTAGTCTCTCCCCTCGTCAGTTCCCATCTAGTCTCCCCGCCCTCCCCCTGCTGTATCTCTCTCCCCTGTCCATCCTAGTCTTTCCCTAGCTTCTTCCCCTTCCTCTGCTAGTCTCTCCCCTGTCCATCCATCTAGTCTTCCCCTTCCTGCTAGTCTCTCCCCTGTCCATCCATCTAGTCTCCCCCCGTCCTGCTAGTCTCTCCCTGTCCATCCATCTAGTCTCCCCCCAGTCCTGCTAGTCTCTCCCCCTGTCCATCCATCTAGTCTCCCCCGTCCTGCTAGTCTCTCCCCTGTCCATCCATCTAGTCTCCCCCGTCCTGCTAGTCTCTCCCCTGTCCATCCATCTAGTCCTCCCCCGTCCTGCTAGTCTCTCCCCTGTCAGTCCATCCATCTCCTCCCCCGTCCTGCTAGTCTCTCCCCTGTCAGTCCATCTAGTCCCCTCTCCCCTCTCATCTCTCCGTCCTCTGTCCTCCCCTGTCCATCCATCTAGTCTTCCCCTTCCTGCTAGTCTCTCCCCTGTCCATCCATCTAGTCTCTCCCCCGTCCTGCTAGTCTCTCTCCCCTGTCCATCCATCTAGTCTCCCCCGTCCTGCTAGTCTCTCCCCTGTCAGTCCATCATCTCCCCGTCCTGCTAGTCTCTCCCCTGTCAGTCCATCTAGTCTCCCCCTTCCTGCTAGTCTCTCCCCTGTCCATCCATCTAGTCTCCCCCGTCCTGCTAGTCTCTCCCCTGTCCAGTCCATCTAGTCTCCCCCGTCCTGCTAGTCTCTCCCCTGTCAGTCCATCTAGTCTCCCCCGTCCTGCTAGTCTCCTCCCGTCAGTCCATATAGTCTCCCCCGTCTGTTAGTCTCTCCCCCGTCCGTCCATCTCCCCCGTCCTGCTAGTCTCTCCCCTGTCCTGCTAGTGCTCTCCCCCTATCCATCCATCTAGTCTCCCCGTCCTGCTAGTCTCTCCACCGTCCTGCTAGCTCTCCCCTGTCAGTCCATCTAGTCTCCCCCGTCCTGCTAGTCTCTCCCCTGTCCATCCATCTAGTCTCTCCCCTGTCATCCATCTAGTCTCCCCAGTCCTGCTAGTCTCTCCCCCTGTCCATCCATCATAGTCTCCCCCCGTCCTGCTAGGTCTCTCCCCTGTCCATTCCATCTAGTCTCCCCCGTCTGCTAGTCTCTCCCCTGCAGTCCCTCTAGTTCCCCGTCCTGCTAGTCTCTCCCCGTCCTGCTAGTCTCTCCCCGTCCGTCCATCTCCCCCGTCCTGCTAGTCTCTCCCCCGTCCGTCCATCTCCCCCGTCCTGCTAGTCTCTCCCCTGTCCATCCATCTCCCCCGTCCTGCTAGTCTCTCCCCTGTCAGTCCATCTAGTCTCCCCCGTCCTGCTAGTCTCTCCCCTGTCCATCCATCTAGTCTCCCCGGTCCCTGCTGTTTTATTACCCCCAGCTGATCCCTCCCCTTCTGTGCCCTCTAGGCAGTACGAGTCAAACAGGAGGCAGAGAAGGGATCTCTTCCTCTCTTACACACACACACCACGGAGAGAGCCCACAGGCATTGCCATGGAAACGCCTCCTCGCAGACTCAGCAACCCGGGGGGGGGAGTTCTCAACCCTCACACAGGCCTAGTCTAGTCTGTCAAAGACAACCACTTCTCTCTACTCAGGATTTTAGACTAAGCATTTGTGTCTGTCTGGCTTCTTCCATAGAGCCTTGCCCGGATTATAAACCAGCCCCTGTCTGGGCTAGATGTAGGCTAGTCACTCACTCTCTTGGCTGCTCACCCGACAGAAGCAAGCCATTTTGGCAACGACGCGGTTCTCCATGGCAACGGCAGGGTAGCATGTATTCAAGCCACCAAGCAGTGATGCTCCTGTAAAGTGCTTTCACTTTGTGAGAGGTTATTGGATCTCTTACGAAAGGAAACGCTTGTGCAATGTATACAACTGAATGTGACATGTAGGGAGGGAGTGGTGTTGATTCCGTATACCGAGTGGAGATGTTGCTGTACTAGCATGTGGCCAAGTTCTGAAAACGACCCGAGCGTATGGGTCAGTAGTCCAACCCTGTGTTTCCTGCCCTGATATACAGATATCACCAGTGTGACACAGGTCAAAACATTCACCTAACCCTGTGCTATCTCAGGAATTCATCTAGGCTGTGAGAGCCCAACCACGAATACCAGTCACAGATTTAAAGTCAATAGTCCTAAAAACTAGGCTGGGTGGCTGGAGGAGAACTAGGCTACATGAGAGATAGTTAAATCAACCATTATGCAACTGCTGCACCAGACTTTCCATATTTACCAGACAACATGGAAAATGTCACTGTTAGGGACAAGGGTACACTAATGACAAGGGTACAGTGACAAGTGGAAAAAGTAGTGGAGGAACCCCACTGGGTCATTCAGCACATTATAGGCCTAACTTAAGACTGCTCTCTCTGTCTGTACCCTTCTCTATCCAGCTGGTAGAAAATGATGGTCAAAGTAGTAACTGAATCAGTTTTCACATGTCCCACAGAAACCAGACTGTGCCAAAAGCCTACAGACGACACACTCTCTGGCCCAGTTCTATGCCTTTATATGGACATGAATCAGAGTCGAATTTGAATCGCCAAGGTAGCCAACGATAAGGAAACCGCCAAATGGTCTGGAACTAAATTTAATAGGTCGGAAAAGACGACCGACATGTAAATTGAGTTGGAACACTACGATGAGTCATCATGGCTTCAACAACAAAGACTAGAATGTTTTAGTTACCTAGGGTTTAAAGGCTGCTTGACAAAGTCCAATAGACGACAGGTAGGTATTCCAGTGGTGTGCAGAGTAGAGCGGTAGATGCCATAGTTTGATAGAGAGAACAGAACAATGGCTACTTTCACTGGTTAAATCAGCAGTGATAAGACTAGAGCAGGCAGAGAGGCGGATGCAGGCAGAGAGGCGGATGCAGGCAGAGATGCGGATGCAGGCAGAGATGCGGATGCAGGCAGAGAGGCGGATGCAGGCAGAGATGCGGATGCAGGCAGAGAGGCGGATGCAGGCAGAGAGTTCTCTCTCCCTATGTAGGCCTACACACAGAATAACCAAACAGAAGGCTGAGCTTCTTGACCCTCTCTCATCCGTGGCCAGCTAAAGGGCAACACAGCACCAGCAGAAAGGCAGTGTGTGCTTTTCAGACTTGATTCATGTCTGTTTTGCACTGGGACTAACTCATTTTAAAAGACAGCTCTCATCCACAAATCATGAGCAGCCTCTGGCAATGACTCCCATAAACACCACGTGCCTATCAAACTAGTTCCATCACCACAAATAGTGAGTCCCTCCCTACTTCCTAGTCCATGAAGAGGACATCGGGTGTATCTCATTGGTTTCCTTTCCATCATCTGTACTGGCTGGTAGACATCCATCCTACTGCTTTGGTCTCTCCAGTGTTTTCAGTGCAGATGAAGGAGAGGAGACAAGGAGAGCCACTTGAGCCACTTGAGATGCAGCTGCATTGCCCTCACTCTGCATAGCTTTTTAGCACTCCTACACACTCATCCACACACACACACATACTCTTTCCCACTCACCATTTTGATGGGCACACAGGCGAGGTCGGCGTCTGTGACAGGGGCGTCATCACTCTCCATGACGTAGATGCCTTTACGGCTGAGGGCCTGGATGACTGACATGTGTGACTGCAGCGAGGCGGCCTGGTCTGTCTTCAGGATGAGGGAACACACCCGGCAGTACAGCTCACAGGACAGCAGCAGGTGGAGGACGGGAGGCTTGATGTGCTCCTGCTCATACTGGTCTGTGTAGAACGGATCCCTCAGGTCCTCTGGGATGTGGTCTGGCGGAGGGGGAGGGGGTTAGTGATGGATATGATGCATATAATGCATGGTGTTGGCCCTTACTTATATTTAGACAGGATGGGTTCCACTCCCTACATCTAGCTGTGTTGCCACCCGCATGAAAATATTTGGTTGCTATTGGTTTCAATGGAATATTTTGGTGCTTGTAGCCATGTGCCTACTTCAGGAAGAATCTAGGGGAAACGCTGCTGTGATGACTAACAGATGCATAAACAGGGCTACAATAGGAGTTTTTCGTTTTGTGGAATGTTTCGCCAAATGTGAAATACGGGTTTTACTTTAAAAAGGGAAGAGCTAGCCTAACAATTCAACAATGAAAGGGAATGTGGCAACAGCAAAATATGTGTCCTGCCAGCTTTCAGTTTACTCTGTAAATATAGGCTAGTGGTGGCTTGGAACCGACAGTAACACTGGTGAGAGAAGAGCTAGGTCCTCAGGTTACCAGTCTGCAACAATGCCTTTCCAGTTTCCACCACAAAGGAAAACAAACACTGACCTATGAAGGGTCTGTTTTGCATTTTGCGCTGACTCGTATCAAACCAGAAGACCATATTAGGCTGAATGACTCTGGTGATGGGAATCGGATCATGATAATTGATGTCTGTTGTGGTCATACTTCCCTAACAGGAAACACACAGCCTACATACAAATCCATACAATCTGGAAACAGTAAAGCAGAGGAATAGAATGGAGAATCCCCCAGCGGCGCATTGCACGTGACAAGCCCAGCCCACGCATAAGCGCACGCTCGCAGAAAGGTGTGATGATCTTTGGGACAGAAATAACCCAGCTAAACTCCATTATTCAGACATCTTTATTTCAACTGAGCTAACAGAACTAGGGCTGTCCCCGACTAAAAAACATCTTGGTCGACCAAGAGTCGTCTGTTCTTTCAACCAATCGATTGGTCAAAAATAAATTACTTGTATTTTTCCATATATTGACACATCCTATGTGTTTTAAATCAAATCAACTATATTCACTGAGCTTTTCTGATGCTTTAAGCACATGGTTTGATTAAATAATTAAGACACAAATTACTAGAGGGAGTCCAAACAGCAATTGATTTGATTGTGCCGGGCTCAGAATTGCAGCGAGTGACTGTGTGACTAGCACCCGTAGTCTCGCTCTCCTCCCTGCTGCAGCGACCACCACAGCACATCAAAGTGTTTATCGCTGTCCATGTTGATGAAGCTGCAACATATTTACAACCATTTCTGATTGAAAAGTTGTTACCAAAATCCCTCATTTGTTTTGGAAAAACATTCCCTATTCCCTCAACCCTGGCTCTCTTTACTTGACACATGTATGCATCGCATGCATGTGACCAAAGACCTATTCGCACGGGACTAGTATTACTAGAGAACGTTGGTTATGTAATTATTACTCTAGAATGTCCATTATTCCAGAGGACGATTCGGACGGGATTCGGTTTTTTCAGCAGTACGTCCTAAATGCCCCCCAGCCTTCAGATGTGTGCTAAACAGTGCAATTGAGATGCATTTTAAGTCTATGGATGAGAAAGTTAACTTTCCAAACGTCTATGATTGGTTCAGAGTTGGTCCGGACCAAAAATCTATGTGCGTGGACGTTGAAATCAAGGCCAGTCTGGACAGCACCAAATCTGAATCAAACATAGAAGAAGTCTATGATTGGTTCAAATTTGGTCCCGACCAAAAACCAATGTCTGTGGAAATCAAGGCCGGTCCAGAACTGCACCAAAAAAAGACGTCCAGAATGTGTTGGCGTCGGTCCCTGCTTACTGAGGTGTAGCCTACAGTGTTGCCTGAAATTGAATTTTATGAATGCCCATCTATGTGGTAAGCCTACCATTTGTAAAACAGGCCATTGCATTGGCTTTATTAGTCCTGATTCCTGTGACTAATCAATTTTGCTATATAAGCTCTGAATATCAGCTACCTAACTTAATCAGGAGTTATCGTGAGCCTGTCTGCAATGTGTTTACACAATGGGAAATGCATCAGTATTTTATTTTTTGCTACGATCAGCTAGTCAAAAAATTGACGGATACAAACTTGAAACCACTGATCATGACAATGGGGTGAAACTCCAGGACAACAGTTGTGATTGTCCATTCCATATTGTCCATATTCCTTTGACCTGTCCTGTTTTTAGGATATGTTACCTTGTTAACATGACAGCTAATTTTTTATTTGATTGAGCGCCATTTAGGTTAGGCTATTTGATCTGAGAAACCTGTATGATGTAAAAAAAAAAGTGTCCATCTCATTACATTGTCATACATTTTATCTCCAGCCTGTAGGCTCCAGAAAAGACCACATACTCTTTCTACCATATCCTATATCTGCTACATGATTTATGTTAGATTACTTTTTTGACTGAACATTGGTGGAGAGCTGCAGAGATGCGTCTCTCTAACAGCACCCTGGAGAGGCACACTGGAAATGGACAAGCAAAATATTTTGTGCCCCTGCCTTTGACAAAGTGGGCACTGCTTATCAAAGGGCGGCATCAGTGCTCACCTAAAAAGCCCATATGCCACCCTCGTCAATCTGCTGCCATAGGCGGCCGCTTAATCCCGCCTTATGAGCGGGCAGGCCGTGCCTATAGCATATCAAAATCACATCAATAAATTGTTTATAATAAACTCTGAATCCTGTAACACGTGACAGCGAAATGGATGCAGACGACGTGACAAATAAACTCGAAATGGGGGAAATGTTTACTGGTTGCTCAGGAGGTAAAGGGGAAGTCAGATGTGTGGAATAAATTTGACTAGTTGTGGAAAATACTGGAGATCAAGAAAAAGAAGGTAAGGAGCAAGCACTGCGTGCATTATGTGTGCCAAACAGGTGCTGTTAGATTACAATATCATTTGACCGTTTGGAACAATGTAAATAATACTAAAGCGTACCAGAGAGTCTGTTGTAAAAAAAAAATTGTAAAGCCTTTAATACAGCAAAGACTAAAAACAGTCTCATTCATTCGCGAATGCAATTCCCAAAATGGAACGGTTTATTGTTTAAGCTAATTATTCAAGGCTCGCTTTATTTTAAAACTAAAATGCTTGATTGCATTTCAAATCATGAATGACTCCGATGCTGTGTGATGACGTGAACGAATGAATGATCGAAACAGTAGAACGTTATTATTATTATAAATATTATTTTCCCAACAATTTGGAACAGTTGTAAACACTAAATAAATTAAACCAGAGGCTGTTCTAACGGAAAAAAATTGTAAAGCCTTTATTACAGCAAAGCAAAGATTAAAAACTGCCGAATTTGTGAAATTGTTTACTTGACATGTCGTTGCTGAGGCTTGGTACTCACGGAATCAGTAGGCTATTAAACAAACACTCAAACAGGCAACAGAAGCACGAGCTGTCTTTTTTCTGTAGATACATTGATGATATATAAAGCCAGGCACATTGAACAGTTAGACTATTGATTATAGACCTATTTAAGTCCGGGTTTCCTCCCTCCTCACTTTTCTTAGACAATAAGGCAAGGGCTGTTTTCTCAACTCATTCTGCTGCTGCCTCCGCGGCATTGTTCTCAACACCAATATGCTGGTTAACTTTGCTATTATGCACAAAGCAACATGGTCTAGGAAAAAGCGCCAATTCAACAGCACACTGATGGGTTTCAGAACCGTGGACAGCCACCGCTTCCTAAAGGAGGGAGAAAGCGCATTTGTTTTAAAATAATATGTTTTTTAGTGTTGCACCATTGTTCTTACGTAATAACCATATACCAATTTCAGTCGCACATGTCTTAGACTGATGGACTATGCCATCCCCACGGCCTCCACAACGGATCAGTCCACTCAGCACGAATCATACAGGTGTCAAAAATGTTTTGCTACTGTTCGACTAAAATCTCGGTCGACCAACAGCCTATCGACCAAACAATCGACCAGTCGACTAAATGGGGTCAGCCCTAAACAGAACAGACATCTCCATAATTCCACATCTGTGTGTTATGGAGCCCTCCCTCCCAGTCCTGACTGACTATGGCATAAAGGAAACGGATAGTCAGCATTCTCCAATCCAACCACACTAACAGGAAGACACACAGGTTGAGGAAGACAGAGCGGCAGATCTTTCCTTCAACCAGTCAGCAACACAGCAGTTACACTAGGCAGATTTGAATTCTACGGTCATCTGAATGTGGCTCAACGCTCATAATAACAACAGTGTTATTAGCCGTGGGTCTATGGAGGGATAATAAGCCTGGGTCATACCTGTAGAGGAGCCGCTCTGTCTGTGCCTTACAACAGAATAGACTACTTAGGGATAGAAAGCATCCACATATACAATAAGCCTGAGATTGTATAACAGTATAAGAGTCAGTCATTACTGGGTGGGGGAGAGCGACAGAGAGAGAGGTGTGTGCATGTGTTGTACTGTGTATAATGTATTAAAAACAGAGGAGGTGGCTGTGTGAAAACAAAAGGCATCTGGCCTGGCTGGGACCAGGGTGGCTGGGACCAGGGTGGGTCTTCATGTATGAATTCCCCCTGGAGACGCTGTGTGGCAGCAGCTGCCCGCCTCTTGCCACAGCGGGCTAAAGTATCTTAACTACTGGGTCAGGGAGTGAGCCCGGCATGGTAAACACACCCCTTTCTCTCCATTGCCAGGACCGGCTGTAGTGCATCCACAAATTAACATCAGACCAGACAGGAGAGCACCAGCTTGCCCCAGCGGGTACCATTCTGACTGGCTGGTAGGCACTGTGATGTGAGAAGCTGAGCCACCCAGGTTTGTGTATCTGCACTGGGGGCGGATACTAACACACAGGTGCCAGCACGCAGCGTGCACTCACACAGACACAAACACACGCTCAGAAACAGATACACAGGCATGCTCACACGTGACGCAGCCACCCGCATGCAGGCTCCCACTCGCATACACACACCTGCCCCTCACTCTCCCACAATCTCTGAGGGGAGAGGATATATTGTCTCAGCCAGCCTGCCCGCCCACCCCTAGCTCCTGCCAGTGAAGTCATTTTATAGAGCCAAACCAGCATCTGTGAAGCAGCATGACCAATACACTCCACTACTGCCATAGAAAAAAAGCTTTTTTTAATACATGCAACTCCCAATGGGGGACACCAATTACTGCTGCACCTGAGCACAGCAGTCCCCAAAATCCCCAAGGCTACTGTACAATCCACTCCCTCTATTATCAAACCGTGTTTCACCCCCAGTTCATCTTTGGTCAATGAGTTCTGTTCTAATGTCTTTAGCTAATAGAGATGAGATGTTGTTGTAATGAGTGCTACTGTGCTCGGTCTCTGCCTGCATGGCTGTTAGCCACAGCCCTTAGAGCTGCAGACTACAGACAGACAGTGGGGAGATTCCTCCGGAGGGGGAGAGAGGAGAGGCAGTGTTCGTTCGTCATCAGGACAAAAGCCAATGACTGTTTCTGTGCTCCCTGGGATCACAGCTCTCTGTTAGAGGAACACAGGGACTAGGCATGAGAAAAAACCAAGGAAAACAGAATGAAAAGAGAATGAAAACAGTAGGAGAATGGCATTCCATCTGGGATCATTTGTTTGCTGTGTGCAGGCTTGTGTCTGAGTGACATCATGAAATCACTGTAATGACTGCCGAAACCAAAAGGCTAGGACGACAAAATGGAACCTAGGCCTTAAACAACAATGTAGATCAGCGTTTCCTATACTCGGTCCTCGGGACCCTAAGGGGTGCACGTTTTATTTTTTGCGCCAACACTACACAACTCAAATCTAATTTTATTTGTCACATGCGCCAAATACAACAGGTGTAGACCTTACCGTGAAATGCTTACTTACAACCCCTTAACAGCTGATTCAAATTATCAAAGCTTGATGATTAGTTGATTATTTGAATCAGCTGTGTAGTGCTAGGGCAAAAAATAAAAGGTGCACCCCTTGGGGTCCCCTGGACCGAGTTTGGGAAATGCTGACGTAGACACACTGCACGGGTGCTTGTGTAACCAGTGGGAAATGGCTAGCTAATTAGCGGTGAAGTCACTCGCTCTGAGACCTTGAAGTAGTTGTTTCTCTTGCTCTGCAAGGGCCGAGGCTTTTGTGGGGCGATAGGTAACGATGCTTTGAGGGTGATTGTTGATGATGTGTGCAAAGGGTCCATGGTTCAAGCCCAGGTTGGGGCGATGAGAGGGACTGAAGAAACACGGTTACACTTGCAGTCCAATTAATATCATACGGGGAGGTGATAGTAAAGTTTGAACATTAGAAAACTAAAAACGCCCTTCTTGAAGCTAGAAATAACAATACGAAAGGCAATCCAAAGAAGCCATGATAGGAAAACAATGGATGGAGCACCATTATGTTCTTCCAATGACGACACACACAGACGACACTCCATTGACATGACTTTAGAAATTAAAGATTCATAGCCAGAGCAGGTGCTCTGAGTGAAATTAGGTCACACGTCTCACACATGACAGGTTTCCTCCACTAGTGACAGGCAACCCTAGCTGTAGGATATGTGGAATTAATTACACATCACAGTGCCACAAGCATTGCCATCCTACCATGTCTTCTGCAAGGAACCAAAGCCACAGGCCTTCAATAGCAAAACTAGGCCAGGTAGCGACCCTTAGAACAGCAATTAGGCCTAGCTTTGCTATTGAAGGCCTGTGGCTTTGGTTCCATGCAGAAGACATGCTAAGATGTTGTGGAGGAGCCAGCTGGCAATGCTTGTGGCACTGTGAGGTGTGATGTGTAATTCATTCCACATATCCTCCAGTTAATTACGCAATTGCAGGTGATCTGCTACAGTATGACAGACGTGGGAATCTCGCAATACAAAAATCAAGAAACAAAGTACCTTGACAGTTTTGCTCTGTAGAACCTAGAACATTTTAGAAAATATAGTAACTTTTTACTAAGGTCCAGGTAATTGTTTTGTCTAATGATGTTGTTGACATCATTACAGCAAGCCAGCAACATTATGTCACTCTTCATAACAGTGACAAGGACTGATATCTTGCTCTGCATTTTCCATGACCTGATGACAGTCTGACAGAGTCAGTGGATTTATTCATCAGTTTTCCTATGAGGCCACTGCACAAAAACAGTTGGATCATTTGCCAAGTCATACAGGGATACAGTCAGTTCTGCACACAAACACACAAAGTATTTTGATGCATAATAATTGAGAAAATCTAGACAATACATTCCATGTATCTCATTAGGCCAAGCCCAACCGCAGACTGTTAGTCTGAGGTGTGGATGAACACACAGACACACGTTTCCTGTCTAACAACATCTGGGCCCTGCCAGCCAAGCAATTCACTTTCAATGGACACTATATGGGGCAACTGTGTCTTCCATCTGAAGTGTTGTGTATCTTTGCCATTAAAAGCCTACATATATCTCCATAATTATTTGGATCATAGCAGAGGGTAAAATCCTGAAGTATCTGCGTGAGAACAGTAAAGGGATAATACTTGCACCAAGGCATTGGAGTTGTGTAGCTATGTGACAGGTGACTATTTTTGACCTTTTTAATAACTATTTCGTTGTCCCAGGAGCTGTGAAGTATCTCTCTCTGTGTGTGTGTGTGTGTGTGTGTGTCAACTTACCAATGCTGTATGCCTTGGCGAACAGCCATCGCAGGTTGGCGTCTATTTTTGCTCTGGCTGAGTCGTACATTTCCAAAGGTACAATCTCCATTGTCCCTTCACCAGCTGAATCCATGTTTCTTCTGGTGCCGTCCCCACCACCACACATATCCACATCCATCCTTACAAACGCAGTCACACAAATTCACAGTATGAAACATACAAGTAATTTCATTAGTGTATTACGTTAGTTACTAGCGAGCCACTGATGAATGGTTGTTAACTAACCAGCTACCTAACTAACCCACAGGTGAAGATTGAAGAACAATTTAGCTAGCTAGTCCGGTTCCTGTTTGCTGGTTAGCATCTTAGGTGATTTAGCGTGATAAAAGTAGCTAATTTAGCATTGGGCGCCCATTCATTAGACAGCTGGCTAACTTTAGCTAGCTGACAATTGGCTGGATTGTTTCGTTTAATCTGGGTTGTACAACATTTACAAAATAGCCTTACTGGCTAAATTAGAAAGCACCTTGGCCAACACAGCTATCTGACGTTAGCTGATGAGCCAGCTATACTAGCCAACTGCCGCTTTATGCTTAATGTTAGGTTACAATAACTGGATGAATCAAACCGACATTCACTAATTTAATCAAACAGTTTTGATAATTGAAAATACCTGAAAAAAACACTATGTATCGTCAATCCACCCTTTAGATCGGTCAGTATAAAATATTTAACATAAGGACTTTATGCAATTGCCCGAGAAAAGCCCAAGCAGCATATCGTAGCAACAGCGAGATGAACGAACGGTCTCCTCCCCAGCAACAAAACCCAATTTGCGGCCTGTGTCTGACAACCGCGCCACGGGAAACCCAGGATAAGCATATACTACCAATGCCAGACAGACAGAAATGTATAGAGTTTACGAAAGACAGTAAGGTACCTGATTATTCCCGGTTTCACGGTTTATCTTTCAATTTGGTGACTCATTTTAGGCCGAAGAATTTAACGGATTAGTGAGAAGCACCTTATGTACCTCCGTATCCGCGCTTTCCCATATAAATCGAATTATCTGTCTGTCCGTTAGCATAGGTAGCTAACCACTGCGCCTGCGTGGATGCTAATACTATCATGCAACCACATCATTGACCTCAACACACCACCCGATTAGACTACAATCACCCCACACACAACGCAGAGCAAGATTCAAAGTAACCATTCATTCATAAAGAAGGGCATAAGAAGGTATATGAAACAATGTTAGATGTTTGTTTGCAAAAATGTATCAGAAATGAACCAGCCCATACCATAACAACTTGCTTTCTTTTGAAAGGATTCTCTAGAAATTTAATGAAACAGTTTAATTAAAAACGATGCATTTGTTAATAAGTACTTCATATGAGTCAATCAATCGTAGTGTATACTGAATTAGGTGGCCTGTTGAAAAAAAAAAACTGTGCTAAAGTAAAAGTGGATGTCTCAGTGGGGCAATATCTCCCTCTTGTGGTGGTGCTTTTTCTTTTAGGACTTTTAGATGAAAGCTAGAATCCTTAATTGAAGCAATAACAAAGCGTTCCCTCTGCCTCTGTTTTGGTATAAAGCTGAGGGATGTGCCTGGATAAATGTAACCACTCTCAAATTCATAGATAGAGCTATGGATGCACGTATGGGGCTGCGCTGGAGCGGGTCGAGAGCTTCAAGTTCCATGGTGTCCACATCACAAATGAATTAACATAGTTGTGAAGAGGACACGACATCACCTCTTCCCTCTCAGGAGGCTGAAAATATTTGGCATGTGCCCTCAGATCCTCATAGTTCTACAGCTGCACCATTGAGAGCATCTTGACTGGCTGCATCACCACTTTGTACGGTGCAAGGCACCCGACCGCAAGGCGTTACAAAGGGTAGTGAGTACGACCCAGTACATCACTGGGGCCGAGCTGCCTGCCATCCAGGACCTCTATACCAGGCGGTGTCAGAGGAAGGCCCCAAAAATAGTCAAAGCCATAGACTGTTCTCTCTGCTACCGCACGGCAAGCGGTACAGATGCACCAAGTCTGGAACCAACAGGATACTGAACAGCTTCTACTCCCAAGCCATAAGACTGTTAAACAAGGCTTCTAAATAGCTAACCAAATGGCTACCCGGACTACCTGCATTGACCCTTTTTTTTAACTAACTCTCTTGTGCTGACTCTATGCACACACACTGGACTCTACCCACACACACACATGCAGTATACTACAGACGCCCCCCCCCCCCCCCCATACACACACACAGTGGTGGAAAAAGTATCCAATTGTCATACTTGAGTAAATGTAAAGATACCTTAATAGAAAATTACTCAAGTAAAAGGGAAAGTCACCCAGTAAAATCCTACTTGAGTAAAAGTCTAAAAGTATTTGGTTTTAAACATACTTAAGTATTAAAAGTAAATGTAATTGTTAAAATATACTTAAGTATCAAAAGTAAAAGTAAAAGTATAAATATTTTCAGAATTCTTATATTAAGCAAGCCAGACAGCACCATTTTCTTGTTTTGTTTAATTTACGGATAGCCATTGGCACGCTCCAACACTCAGACATAATTTACAAATGAAGCATGTCTTTAGTGAGTCCGCCAGATCAGAGGCAGTACGGAAGACCGGGATGTTATTTTGATAAGTGTGTGAATTAGACCATTTTCCTGTCCTGCTAAGCATTCAAAATGTAACGAGTACTTTTGGGTTTCAGGGAAATGTATGGAGTAAAAAGTACATAATTTTCTTTAGAAATGTAGTGAAGTAAAAGTAAAAGTTGTCAAAAATATAAATAGTAAAGTAAAGTACAGATACATGGGGGATTGGAAGTGATGCAGACAATTACATTGATAGAAGATACAATCTATCTGCAATATTAAGCTGATCCATCCCCCCGGAAAAAAAAAAAAAAAAAAAAAAAAAGTAAAGTACAGATACCAAAAAAACGACTTAAGTAGTACTTTTACTTAAGTACTTTACACCACTGTACCCCCCCACACACACACACACACACACACACACACACACACACACATAGGCTGCTGCTACAGCTCAGTCTATTATCTATATTGTTGTCTAATCACTTTACCACTACCTATATGTACATAGCTACATCAATTACCTGGTACCCCTGCACATTGACTCGGTACTGGTACTCCCTGTATAAAGACACGTTATTTTCTACTCCCTGTATAAAGACACGTTATTTTCTACTCCCTGTATAAAGACACGTTATTTTCTACTCCCTGTATAAAGACACGTTATTTTCTACTCCCTGTATAAAGACACGTTATTTTCTACTCCCTGTATAAAGACACGTTATTTTCTACTCCCTGTATAAAGACACGTTATTTTCTACTCCCTGTATAAAGACACGTTATTTTCTACTCCCTGTATATAGCCATGTTATTTTCTACTCCCTGTATATAGCCATGTTATTTTCTACTCCCTGTATATAGCCATGTTATTTTCTACTCCCTGTATAAAGACACGTTCTTTTCTACTCCCTGTATAAAGACACGTTATGTTCTACTCCCTGTATAAAGACACGTTATTTTCTACTCCCTGTATAAAGACACGTTATTTTCTACTCCCTGTATAAAGACACGTTCTTTTCTACTCCCTATATAAAGACACGTTCTTTTCTACTCCCTGTATAAAGACACGTTCTTTTCTACTCCCTGTATAAAGACACTTTATTTTCTACTCCCTGTATAAAGACACGTTATTTTCTACTCCCTGTATAAAGATACGTTATTTTCTACTCCCTGTATAAAAACACGTTATTTTCTACTCCCTGTATAAAGACATGTTATTTTCTACTCCCTGTATAAAGACACGTTATTTTCTACTCCCTGTATAAAGACACGTTATTTTCTACTCCCTGTATAAAGACACGTTATTTTCTACTCCCTGTATAAAGACACGTTATTTTCTACTCCCTGTATAAAGACAAGTTATTTTCTACTCCCTGTATAGACACGTTATTTTCTACTCCTGTATAAAGACACATTATTTCTACTCCCTGTATAAAGACATGTTATTTTCTACTCCCTGTATAAAGACACGTTATTTTCTACTCCCTGTATAAAGACACGTTATTTTCTACTCCCTGTATAAAGACACATTATGTTCTACTCCCTGTATAAAGACATGTTATTTTCTACTCCCTGTATAAAGACATGTTATTTTCTACTCCCTGTATAAAGACATGTTATTTTCTACTTGTTATTGTTATTCACTTTGTATTTATTCATTGTGTCACTATTTCTATTTGATATTTTGTATCTTTAACTCTGCATTGTTGGAAAAGGACCCGTAAGTAAGCATTTCACTGTTAGTCTACACCTGTTGTTTACGAACATGTAACAAATAACTTTCTATTTGATTTGAAGGACTGACCATCCATGATTTTAAAATGTTAACCATGTTTTGAGGATATATAGTGTTTGTTTACATTGACATAAAACATTAAAAAATTTGTAAAACAAGCTTATATTTTAAAATTCTAATCATCAAAGCAAATGTTTTTGTTATATGACCCCAATACAACAGGTGTAGACTTCATCGTGAAATGCCTACTTAAGAGCCCTTTCCCAACATTGCAGAGTTAAAAAGTAAGACACATTTGCTAAATAGGAAATAGTAACACAATAAAAATAACAATAACAAGAATATATACAAGGGTACTGGTACTGAGTCAATGTGCTGGGGTATGAGGTAATTGAGGTAATATGTACATGTAGGTCTAGGTCAAAGTGACTAGCCAATCAGGATAGATAATAAACAGATTAGCAGCAAGCTATATGAAAGCATGTCAATGTGTGAGTTTTGTGTGTGTGTGAGCGTATGTAGTGTGTGTGTGGGAGTGTCAGTGGAGTATGTGTGGGAGTGTCAGTCAAGTGAATGTGCATATAGCCAGTGCAAGAGAGTCAGCGCAAATAAAAAGGGGGTCACTGCAAATAGACAGGGTAGCCATTGGATTTTTGGGATTCTCATTGCCGAGTACGACAGTTGAACTAAGCTCATGAGGCATTTATAAGTTATATTCTTCAAGAATCAATGGTTAGAAATGTATAAGTCCAAAAATTGATATAGCAACCAAGTATTTTAGATTTAACGTAACTACAACTCCCACTATGCACAGGGCCAAAAATACGTTGCCTGGGTTCAGAGGTCAATCGTTACCAACAAAATATGGTCTTCGGCTAGCTGCTCGTCTCTTCAAGGAAAATAAACATATTTTTTGCGAAATAACGTCACTAGACTGCTATAGCATTGAATTACGATCAGACTGTCTGAAAATGGTCCGAAAATCATAAGTGTAGGCGTTTGCGCTGTTGTCGCTGGTTTTCGAAGACGCCAGCTAGCGCGCTAACGTTAACAAGCTAGCCGTACCAGAAAACCAACATCACTGAACTGGTAGCTATCTAGCTACACAACAAGGCTACAGCTATGTTTGTACAAGAAGAGAAGATATTCGCAGGAAAAATATTAAAAATCCACATTTGTACAATGGAGGGTACGGAGTGGTTGGAAGAAGTTACAGAGGATACCACTATTGAAAAACTCAAAGAAAAGTGCTTGAAACATGTATGTTTGTGTGTTTATTTTCCTGCTTGCTCATTGGTGTTTGCCCGGGGTGAAATTGTAGCTGTTTGCAGGCCCAGTTGAAATTGTCAGTGGTTCCGTATTTATAGCAACTGGGTAGACGCTGCTATTTATAATTTAGCAAGTTGGCTCGCAAGCCGTCTAGCCTCTAAACCTACAAGCTAGGCACAATGCTCCTAGTGTAATGCAGAAATCATTTTTACCTTTAGAAATGGGTCTGGCTATTGATGTAGGTCTAGCTAGCCTATACATGACCAATTACAAACTGCTTATGACACTAGCTAGTATTTTACCAGGGATAAAAGTACTGCTTCTTGTTCCTACCTGTGGGATAATGTTGGGGTTTGATTTGCTTTTCAGTATGTACATGGAAGTCTTGAAGACCCCAAAACACTCACACACCACAAACTTGTCCATGCTGCCACAGAGAGGATCCTCATGGAAACAAAAACCGTTTCAGATGAAAATCTAAAAGATAAAGGTACTCCTATGGATGTCACTAAGTTGTCTCAATGTTTACATTTTCAACAAAAAAGCATGAGCTGGCACACACCCAGAGAAAAGTATTTAGTGTAGAGGTGCTGACTAACAGTGAATAAACTGTAAGCTATAAAAACAAAGAGAGTATCACACTATAAACCCCCAGTCATTTATTGGGTGGTTTACCCAATACATTACTGGGAGTTTATACATAGAGTGTGCGACTCTCTTTGTTTTTATAGGTTACATTTTCACCACAAACATTTAGTGATGGTTATTTGTTTATTTGGATCCCCATTAGCTTTTGCAGAAGCAGCAGCTACTCTTCCTAGGGTCCACAAAAAAACAAAAACATGACAAGTAACAAAACACTGATACACTGATAGACAAGGACATTCACACAAAGTTCAAATACAACGATATACAATCAATACAACAACAAAATAATGTGTGTGTTAGAGAGTGTCTGTGTGTGCATGTCTGTCTGTGTCCCCCCAGTCCCTGTCATGCTAGGAAGTGACAATGATTTATTCGGTTTTAGATGTTCTTCTACTGATAAAGAAGAGACCACCGCCACCCCCTCCGAAAATGGCGGACATATCTGCAGAGGAAAAGGTAGAACTCGTATATTTACTCTCGTTAATTGTATTGGTTTGTGGGTTATCTAACTCGGCGCTGAAACTCAATAGGCACTGATCATCAGACTGAAATGTTTAATGGATTGTAATTCAAGAAACTGCTTACGTCTAACTATTTGTACTGTCTGGGATTGTCGTCCATGTGTGATTCCTCCCTGTCTGTCAGAAGAAGCAGGATAACAAGGCTCCAGATAAGGAAGCCATCCTGAAGGCCACCGCTGGCCTGTCCACCCGCCACACTGACCGCACTGTCACCCAGCACAACATCAGAGACGTATGTACAGTACAGTAGGATTGTACCGTTTTTTAAATAACCTGTCCGAATGCAAAGTTCAAAGCACTGGAGGAGTGTTCCACTGACTATTGTACTGAAATGTAACTAGTCCTGAATTTCATGGTTCTGCACAATAATCAGAGGCAGATTAAAATGAGTGAAGTTAGTCACATTAAGCCTGTTCAAAATTCCTGATACTAAGATTTTATGTTTATGTAACCCTTTATTTAATTAGGAAATCCCATTGAGGTCAGAAGAGCTCATTCCCACGGGAGACCTGGCAAGTTGATAATGCTCTCAATGTTATGCCATGAACCTCAGTCCTAAAAAGAGAGTATTAACTATTGTTTATGTGTGCATGTGTGTGTACATTTTCCTTCAGTTTCAGACGGAGCTCAGGAAAATCCTTGTCTCTCTCATTGAAGTGGCCCAGAAGCTTCTCGCCTTGAATCCTGATGCTGTGGAGCTCTTCAAAAAGGCCAATGGTACAGCATGCAGACGCTATTACACTCTAAAAACATTTGCCTTTACACCTGCCTTGAGCTATCAAGGACTGGTTTAGTAATATATATATGTATATATATATATACACACTACCGTTCAAAAGTTTGGGGTCAGTTAGAAATGTCCTTGTTTTTGTCCATTAAAATAACATAAAATTGATCAGAAATACAGTGTAGATGTTGTAAATGGCTATTGTAGCTGGAAACGGCTGATTTTTAATGGAATATCTACATCGGCGCACAGAGGCCCATTATCAGCAACCATCAGTCCTGTGTTCCCATGGCACGTTGTGTTTGATAATCCAAGTTTATCATTTTAAAAGGCTAATTGATCATTATAAAACCCTTTTGCAATTATGTTAGCACAGCTGAAAACTGTTGTGCTGATTAAAGAAGCAATAAAACTGGCCTTCTTGAGACTAGTTGAGTATCTGGAACATCAGCAATTGGGGGTTCGATTACAGAATCAAAATGGCCAGAAACAAAAACTTTCTTCTGAAACTCGTCAGTCTATTCTTGTTCTGAGAAATGAAGGCTATTCCATGTGAGAAATTGCCAAGAAACTGAAGATCTCGTACAACGATGTGTACTACTCCCTTCACAGAACAGCGCAAACTGTCTCTAACCAGAATAGAAAGAGGAGTGGGAGGCCCCGGTGCACAACTGAGCAAGAGGACAAATACATGTCTAGTTTGAGAAACAGACGCCTCACAGGTCCTCAACTGGCAGCTTCATTAAATAGTAACCGCAAAACACCAGTCTCAACGTCAACAGTGAAGAGGCGACACCGGGATGCTAATCTTCCAGGCAGAGTTGCAAAGAAAAAGCCATATCTCAGACTGCCCATCTCAATCTTTTCTTTTTATTGGCCAGTCTGAAATATGGCTTTTTCTTTGCAACTCTGCCTAGAAGGTCAGCATCCCGGAGTCGCCTCTTCACAGTTGACATTGAGACTGAAGCTGCCAGACACTCTAATGTACAGTGGGGAAAACAAGTATTTAGTCAGCCACCAATTGTGCAAGTTCTCCCACTTAAAAAGATGAGAGGCCTGTAATTTCCATCATAGGTACACGTCAACTATGACAGACAAATTGAGATTTCTTTTCTCCAGAAAATCACATTGTAGGATTTTAAATGAATTTATTTGCAAATTATGGTGGAAAATAAGTATTTGGTCACCTACAAACAAGCAAGATTTCGGGCTCTCACAGACCTGTAACTTCTTCTTTAAGAGGCTCCTCTGTCCTCCACTCGTTACCTGTATTAATGGCACCTGTTTGAACTTGTTATCAGTATAAAAGACACCTGTCCACAACCTCAAACAGTCACACTCCAAACTCCACTATGGCCAAGACCAAAGAGCTGTCAAAGGACACCAGAAACAAAATTGTAGACCTTCACCAGGCTGGGAAGACTGAATCTGCAATAGGTAAGCAGCTTGGTTTGAAGAAATCAACTGTGGGAGCAATTATTAGGAAATGGAAGACATACAAGACCACTGATAATCTCCCTCGATCTGGGGCTCCACGCAAGATCTCACCCTGTGGGGTCAAAATGATCACAAGAACGGTGAGCAAAAATCCCAGAACCACACGGGGGGACCTAGTGAATGACCTGCAGAGAGCTGGGACCAAAGTAACAAAGCCTACCATCAGTAACACACTACGCCGCCAGGGACTCAAATCCTGCAGTGCCAGACGTGTCCCCCTGCTTAAACCAGTACAATCCAGGCCCGTCTGAAGTTTGCTAGAGTGCATTTGGATGATCCAGAAGAGGATTGGGAGAATGTCATATGGTCAGATGAAACCAAAATAGAACTTTTTGGTAAAAACTCAACTCGTCGTGTTTGGAGGACAAAGAATGCTGAGTTGCATCCAAAGAACACCATACCCAGTGTGAAGCATGGGGGTGGAAACATCATGCTTTGGGGCTGTTTTTCTGCAAAGGGACCAGGACGACTGATCCGTGTAAAGGAAAGAATGAATGGGGCCATGTATCGTGAGATTTTGAGTGAAAACCTCCTTCCATCAGCAAGGGCATTGAAGATGAAACGTGGCTGGGTCTTTCAGCATGACAATGACCCCAAACACACCGCCCGGGCAACGAAGGAGTGGCTTCGTAAGAAGCATTTCAAGGTCCTGGAGTGGCCTAGCCAGTCTCCAGATCTCAACCCCATAGAAAACCTTTGGAGGGAGTTGAAAGTCCGTGTTGCCCAGTGACAGCCCCAAAACATCACTGCTCTAGAGGAGATCTGCATGGAGGAATGGGCCAAAATACCAGCAACAGTGTGTGAAAACCTTGTGAAGACTTACAGAAAACGTTTGACCTGTGTCACTGCCAACAAAGGGTATATAACAAAGTATTGAGAAACTTTTGTTATTGACCAAATACTTATTTTCCACCATCATTTGCAAATAAATTCATCAAAAATCCTACAATGTGATTTTCTGGATTTTCTTTCCTCATTTTGTCTGTCATAGTTGACGTGTACCTATGATGAAAATTACAGTTCTCTCTCATCTTTTTAAGTGGGAGAACTTGCACAATTGGTGGCTGACTAAATACTTTTTTCCCCCCACTGTATTTGTCCTCTGGTTCAGTTGTGCACTGGGGCCTCCCACTCCTCTTTCTATTCTGGTTAGAGACATTTTGCGCTGTTCTGTGAAGGGAGTAGTACACAGCGTTGTATGAGATCTTCAGTTTCTTGGCTATTTCTCACATGGAATAGCCTTCATTTCTCAGAACAAGAATAGACTGACGAGTTTCAGAAGAAAGTTATTTGTTTCTGGCCATTTTGAGCATGTAATCGAACCCACAATTGCTGATGCTCCAGATACTCAACTAGTCTCAAGAAGGCCAGTTTTGTTGCTTCTTTAATCAGCACAACAGTTTTCAGCTGTGCTAACATAATTGCAAAAGGGTTTTCTAATGATCAATTAGCCTTTTAAAATGATAAATTTGAATTAGCAAACACAATGTGCCATTGGAACACAGGACTGATGGTTGCTGATAATGGGCCTATGTACGCCTATGTAGATATTCCATAAAAAATCAGCCGTTTCCAGCTACAATAGCCATTTACAACATTAACAATGTCTACACTGTATTTCTGATCAATTTGATGTTATTTTAATGGACAAAAAAATTGTTTTCTTTCGAAAACTAGGACATTTCTAAGTGACCCCAAACTTTTGAACGGTAGTGTGTGTGTATATATATATATATATCTACACTACATTACCAAAAGTATGTGGACACCTGCTCGTCAAACATCTCATTCCAAAATCATGGGCATTAATATGGAGTTGGTCCCCCCTTTGCTGCTATAAAAGCCTCCACTCTTCTGGCAAGGCTTTCCACTAGATGTTGGAACATTGCTGCGTGGACTTGCTTCCATTCAGCCACAAGAGCATTAGTGAGGTCGGGCACTGATGTTGGGAGTTAGGCCTGGCTCGCAGTCGGCGTTCCAATTCATCCCAAAGGTGTTCGATGGGGTTGAGGTCAGGGCTCTGTGCAGGCCAGTCAAGTTCTTCCACACAGATCTCGACAAACCATTGCTGTATGGACCTCGCTTTGTGCACAGGGGCATTGTCATGCTGAAACAGGAAAGGGCCTTCCCCAAACTTTGTCACAAAGTTGGAAGCACAGAATAGTCTAGAATGTCATTGTATGCTGCAGCGTTAAGATTTCCCTTCAATGGAACTAAGGGGCCTAGCCCGAACCATGAAAAACAGCCCCAGACCATTATTCCTCATCCACCAAACTTTACAGTTGGCACTGTGCATTGGGTCAGGTAGCGTTCTTCTGGCATCCGCCAAACCCAGATTCGTCAGTTGAACTGCCAAATGGTGAAGCGTGATTAATCACTCCAGAGAACGCGTTTCCACTGCTCCAGAGTCTAATGGTGGCAAGCTTTACACCAATCCAGCTGACGGTTGACATTGCGCATGGTGATCTTAGGCTTGTGTGGGGCTGCTCGGCAATGGAAACCCATTTCATGAAGCTCTCAATGAACAGCTATTGTGCTGACGTTGCTTTCAGAGGCAGTTTGGAACTCAGTAGTGAGTATTGCAACCGACGACAGACATATTTTTACGCTCTTCAGCACTCAGCGGTCCTGTTCTGTAAGCTTGTGTGGCCTACCACTTTGCGGCTGAGCCGTTGTTACTCCTAGATGTTTCCACAATAACAGCACTTACAGTTGACCTGGGCAGCTCTAGCAGGGCAGAAATTTGAGGAACTGACTTGTTGGAAAGGTGGCATTCTATGACGGTGCCACGTTGAAAGTCACTGAGCAATTCAGTAAGGCAATCTACTGGTGGTCCTCTGTAGCTCAATTGGTAGAGCATGGTGCTTGTAACGCCAGGGTAGTAGGTTCGATCCCCGGGACCACCCATACGTAAAAATGTATGCACACATGACTGTAAGTCGCTTTGGATAAAAGCGTCTGCTAAATGGCATATTATTATTATTTACTGCCAATGTTTGTCTATGGAGATTGCATGGATGTGTGCTTGATGTTATACACCTGTCAGCAACAGGTGTGGCTGAAATAGCCAAATCCACTAATTTGAAGGTTAGGGCTGCACGATATATCGTTTCAGCATCGACATTGCGATGTATGCATCCGCAATAGTCACATCGCAGAACGTGCGATTTAGTAAGGTAAACATATATCAGTCTACAATATATATATATTTTTAAAAAGGTTAAACGGTTAAGCATTATATCTGTCTGATATAACGTAATTTACTCCGATTTATGGGTTATTGGATACACAGTTTATTATTATTATTATTTTTAACACGGAGTTTGTTGCTGCATGTGGTTGACATGCAGGCTCTGCTTGCGCATGACGAAATGATGAGCGAGGAACAGGCAAAAAAGACCGAAATTGAGAATTTGGTTGCAAAAAGAAATGCATCGTCAATTATATGGAAATATTTCGGCTACAGACAGGATGATGTTGACCAAAAACAGGTACTTTGTCGAGAGTGCCTTGCAATTTTTCTCAAGTTGCCATCCCATAGTTGTACGAGAAATGCAAGGCACAAGTTGAAACAGAGCTGTCACAAGTGGAATATTATACAGCAACAACGGACTTGTGGTCCAGCCGGACAACGGAGCCCTACATAAGTCTGACCATACACTTTATTAATGAGGACTTCCACCTGAAAAGTCGCTGTTTGCGAACATGCATACAGTGCTATGAAAAGGTATTTGCCCCCTTTCTAATTTTCTCTACTTTTGCATATTTGTGATACTGAATGTTATCAGATCTTCAACCAAAACCTAATATTAGATAAAGGGAACATAAGTGAACAAATAACACAACAATTATATTTATTTCATAAACAAAGTTATGCAACACCCAATTCCCCTGTGTGAAAAAGTAATTGCCCCCTTACACTCAATAACTGGTTGCCACCTTTGGCTCCAACCAAATGCTTCCTGTAGTTGTTGATCAGTCTCTCGCGTCGCTGTGGAGGAATTTTGGCCCACTCTTCCATGCAGAACTGCTTTAACTCAGTGACGTGTGGGTTTTCAAGCATGAACTGCTCGTTTCAAGTCCTGCCACAACATCTCAATTGGGATTAGGTCTGGACTTTGACTAGGCCATTCCAAAACTTCAAATTTGTTGCTTTTTAGCAATTTTCATGTAGACTTGATTGTGTGTTTTGGATCATTGTCTTGCTGCATGACCCAGCTGCGCTTCAGCTTCAGCTCACAGATGGATGGTCTGACATTCTCCTGTAGAATTCTCTGATACAGAGCAGAATTCATGGTTCCTTCTATTAAGGCAAGTCGTCCAGGTCCTGAGGCAGCAAAGCATCCCCAAACCATCACACCACCACCACCATGCTTGACCTTTGGTATGATGTTCTTACTGTGGAATGCAGTGTTTGGTTTTTGCCAGGCATAATGGGACCCATCTCGTCCAAAAAGTTGACTCAAGTTTGCCAAAATGCACCTGGATGATCATCAAGACTCTTGGAAGAACGTTCTATGGACAGATGATTCAAAAGTATAACTTTTTGGACGACATGGTTCCAGTAATGCCTGGCGTAAGCCAAACTCTGCATTCCACAGTAAGAACATCATACCAAAGGTCAAGCATGGTGGTGGTGGTTTGGGTGCGGACCAGCTTCACACATTTGGAATACTGACAGAGGCTATTCATGAGTGACGAAACTGTATTATACCATTATTACAGTTCACTAACATTGTGTGTCTGTGTGTGATTGTCAGCCATGCTGGATGAGGACGACGAGGACCGGGTTGATGAGACGGCCCTTCAACAGCTGACTGAGATGGGTTTCCCTGAGAGCAGAGCCATCAAAGCTCTCAGACTCAATCAGTGAGTCACAATCAATAATACCTAGGAGCAGCAGGAGTCAGACTAGATGATCAGAATCACTCACACAACGAGTGTAGTCTTACGTCCATGATACTGGTCAGTGGTCATATCACTGAAGTGTATACAGAATCACCAGTTGTTTGAATCACAACAAGAGAGCCATATCTGAACGGAAGAGTCTGAAACAACAGGTTTAACCATGGCCCACCTTCACTGTTTCGATCCTGCAGCATGTCAGTGACCCAGGCCATGGAGTGGCTGATTGAGCATGTAGACGACCCCACGGTGGACACCCCCCTGCCTGGCCAGGACACCCCGGGAGCAGTAGGGGCCACGGCACCACCCCTGGTCCATTCTATCTCGGCCTCCGCCTTCCGTCCCAGCCTCCTCCGCACCCTCTCCCAGACCAGCACAGACGACGCTGCCACCGGAGCCAGGCAGGATGAGCTCACTGAGATCTTCAAGAGGATCCGAAGGAAAAGAGAGTTCAGGCCCGACTCACGGGTGAGTGTCACTGTGGGTCCCAATGGCCTGGCCTGGGATGTACCAAGCAAACACTGATACATGTAGCTAGCTTACACAAAATGTTTGTAATGTGATGACGCTCAGTTATGGACTCGGTTGCTGAATGCCACCTGTGTTGTGATTATTGGACTCATAGTGTGATAAACTCAATTGATCATATTATTACAAAAGCTTTATAGAATAATGACAAATGTCTTGTGGAATGAAAGTATTGACTATATAAACTGTTAACTCACTCAGACACAGATAAATGAATAGACTCTTTGCTGTCTAACTCTGCAGGCTGTCATTGCGTTAATGGAGATGGGTTTCGATGAGAAGGAGGTGGTCGATGCTCTGAGAGTCAATAACAACCAACAGGACGCTGCGGTAAGTTTTTAAAGGGATACTTCCCCAGAGTCAGATAAACTCGTGGATACCATTTTAGCGCAATGACTGGAAGTCTATAGGTGTCTGCTAGCATGCAGTATGACACTCAGGTCTTTCAGAAGCACTCTCTTTATCTTCTATCTATATAATGCACTTGTCTTGTATTCAATGAGACATTCTAGATGCATAAGAAATTAAATCATTCCTTCCTCTCTTGTATAAATTAACTGCTTTTCACGCCCTTTGGCCATGTTGTCATTGGGAAAGAGTCCTAGTTCTCTATTGACCATCCTAGTTTAAGAGAAGTTGACTAACTGATCTAAACATCTTGTTGTCCCTCTGTGTGAGTAAGTGGCTGCTGATTGGTTAATGTGTTGTCATGCTGCAGTGTGAGTGGCTGCTGATTGGTTAATGTGTTGTCATCCTGCAGTGTGAGTGGCTGCTGATTGGTTAACGTGTTGTCATCCTGCAGTGTGAGTGGCTGCTGATTGGTTAACGTGTTGTCATCCTGCAGTGTGAGTGGCTGCTGATTGGTTAATGTGTTGTCATCCTGCAGTGTGAGTGGCTGCTGATTGGTTAACGTGTTGTCATCCTGCAGTGTGAGTGGCTGCTGATTGGTTAACTTGTTGTCATCCTGCAGTGTGAGTGGCTGTTGGGGGACAGGAAGCCGTCTCCAGAGGACCTGGATAAGGGCATCGACACCAACAGTCCTCTGTTCCAGGCCATCCTGGAGAACCCTGTGGTCCAGCTGGGCCTCACCAACCCCAAAACACTGCTGGGTAGGAGCTACAGCTGTTAGAAGCACAAGGGACTGTTTATGTTTGTTAGTGTCTGATTGTGTTTTCTGGGGTGTGTGTACTGTAGGGTCACACAGCAGGTTCTGAAAGTGGTGGTATTACTTCCATAGCCTCTAAAACCCTTGTTGTCTTTATGCAGCGTTCGAGGACATGTTGGAGAACCCTCTGAACAGCACCCAGTGGATGAACGACCCTGAGACTGGACCTGTCATGTTGCAGATCTCCAGAATCTTCCAGACACTCAACCGCACGTAGGCACTGCACGCACGGTGTGTGTGTGTGTGTGTGTGTGTGTGTGTGTGTGTGTGTGTGTGTGTGTGTGAGCGTGTGTGTAGGTGAGTGTGTGTGTAGTATGTAGGTGAGCGTGTGTGTGTGTGAGCACAGCTGTGACAAGTATTGTTTTTGCCTTGAAAAGTCAAAGCCGGAGAAGATGTGTAAATGTAGGAATTCAGAAGACGGAGATGTGACAGATATATCTATTTATACCACAGAAAATAGAACAATGTTAACATGAACATGATTATAAAAATGATTATAAAAATTGTTGTTTTTTACATTTTAATAAGAACAATTTATAGTTAAGACATACATGATTTATTTAAAATAATTTATCCATGTACAAAAAGACCATCAGGCATCAAAACAATGTTTACACTTTAAAAACAGTTTTTATATGTTTTGCAATTATTTAAATATCAATTACAGTTTCATTTGTTTCCTTAAATTGCTACATTTCATCAAAGGTAAATGTTTCTAGCGTGAGGTGATTGACTTCAGGGCAGGCAAAGTCTGTATCATTTGGTTGAAGACTAAATGCATGTGAACATGCACCCTAACTTTTGTGTGTCGTGGGATCCAGGATTCAGTACTAGCCAGGGGTGTGTTCAAAAGGTTGAAAGTTGAGAATGTTGCAGAGGGTGGCTCAGTTGGTAGAGCATGGCGCTTGGGGTACCAATATGTAAATGTATGCACTCACTACTGTAAGTCGCTCTGGATAAGAGTCTAATAAATAACTTACATGTACATGTCGATAGAAATGTAATACATAGAACTGACACGATTGATTCTCTCTCTGTGACAAAGAAGAATGTCTGTTCTAAATGATGTAATTCTGTCAGAAAGTGTTGTTATGTTTCACCCATCTGAATGATTAAGCCCCAGGTGATGTTACAGAGAGGAGAACGGTTGTGCTTATCACCCTCAGTAGAGTGTAGAGGCACAGGGGTGGATTCACTAGGAACCAAACGGGAAAGGGCCTATCTGAATTTGTCCAATATAAATTCTCGTTTTCATTGTAAAATGTTTTTCCATTGCAAAACGTTTTACTACACTGGCACTAATGAATGCACCCCAGGTGGATGTGGGTGGTCAGCCTTGGGAGCCTACCGGTCTGCCTGCTGTGAGTCACACTACTCAAACACGTGGAAAAGTAAAGGAGGACATTTTCTTTGTGCATCTTCCAAATATTTATTTAACTGCAACATTTTTTTGTTGTTGCCTTTTTAGAAAAGGGTACTATTATAAGCTGTCTTTTTAGTGTCTGTGAAGTCAAGTCTGTGTAATAATGGTCTTTGGTCCTGATTAATCTAGAGACCTATGTAGAAATTCTCAATGTGCTCAGAATGTCATCATGTAGTCATATTGCTCTCATTCTGCGTCTGTTCTCAATGCTTTTACCACGACTCACTGCAGCAGGCCAAATATTACTCCCATAAGATCTGAGAAATTGTTAATTTTCTGACAATGGGTGGTGTGGTTGGCCTGAGTGCCAATCTGTTTGTGCTATCATGCCAACTCCTTGTCACTGATTGTGTCAAAACATATTTGGCTTGACAATGAGCAATGGAGTTGGCAAGAGCACAAACAGATCTGGGACCAGGATACAGTATGATAGGTTTCAGGGGAAGTTGAGGCTTCATCCGCGGACATCACATAAATGATTCAAAGGTAATCGTTTGAGTGATGTGAAGGTGTATCATTCCTTCCTGCAATGAAGCAAACTATCTAAGTATAAACATGTAAGCTAATGCATTGAATAATTTGACATGCAGTGGTATACTGAGCTAAGGAAAACTGCTAGTCTAGTGGTGGGCCGTTTTACTTCTGAGAGCAAAGTAGATGTGAGCTGTTTAACCAAAACATGAATTTATTGTTGACTGTGAGACGACTTGCCTTGTCACTAGACAGACCAGTACAAACTATAATACTATAGTAACTTTTTGTGCAATAGCTAGAATCTATGGATGGACTTGAGGAGTTATGTAGACCTGTTAGAATGGAGTGTTAGGAATGTGTGAAATGCAATGAGTTAGTGAGGCTGTATCTTTATTCTATATCTGACAGTCATTTATAATAACAATAAGTGACTACCCAGAGACACTAATACTGCTTTTGGTACATATGATTCAATATGACTGATTAAGGCGCTCTTAGTCTGCGTCCCAAATGGCACCCTGTTCCCTATGGGCCCTGGTCAAAAGTAGTGCACAATATAGGGAATAGGGTGGCATTTGGGATGCAGACCTTTGTTTCATTGTGAATTTCATCTAAAAGAAGAACATGAAGGATGCATGGTGTGTTTTGCCAAGCTTTGAGTGTTTTATTCAATATTTGAATTGTAGTGTTGATGTGACTTTGTGCTCAGGGAGGCTGACAGTTTTTCTTTCTTCTAGCTGTTTCACCATGAGGCAAATCTCTACTCCTGTTGTGCAAAAATGTGACTTAAGGCTTTAACTAATCCATGATAACCTGGCTTATTGAACAGAGCGTCACTAAGTATGGTTTGGTAAAATGCAATATTTGAAAATTATTTAAATGTTTTTTAAAAGAGAAGTATTTGCTTGAATTGTGTGTTATTTATATTTAAGCCAAAATGGTTACTTGCTCTTATTAATATTACATTTGAGGGAATCTGAAATTTGCACTTCAAGTTATTGAAATACAATTTCTTTACAAAATAGATCTATACACATTTTGAGAAAATACGTTTTTCACTAGCAGGTCACGGATCTGTCAAGAGCAATGTAGCATTTTTGAATGTTCAAAGCATTTGTATAGATAGAGGATGAGAAGACTACATTTGCAGCCTAGAATGCTGTGGCAAAAGGCACAATTGTCCTTATATAAGTAGTTTTCTATCATGGTTACTGTTATTTATTGTTATAACATCATGGACCGGAATCTATCCAATATCAAATCATGTATTTCCCAACTGCAGAGACTGAAAGGTTGAAGACTCTAGGTACAAACTTCAGCCATCAGGAGCTAAAAGGCTAAATTGACCTTTGATCAGTGCTCAGGGGTCTTTTTGGTGTGTGAGTGTCATCATGGCAGTTGGATTGTTTTTACTGGGTTTCCATACAGCACTGTCCGGTATTAACAACCTATGCAATATACTCTCTCATTCTGTTAAACCAACTAGCCTCGCCCTCGGGGCTACTGTCATTCAAATCACCATTACATTAAAAGCATTTCTGTTGCTGTATTCTTTTGAATCCTGTGCTTTGTATACCTGAATGGGGGGAACGTTTAATCTCCCTTAGACAGTGTTGACCTGTTAACGAGAGGGAGAGAGACTCATAGGTGCTCAATGCATTTCATACCGACAAGACTGTGTATTTTTATAGATGTGAAACAAACTATAGCCTGGATGCCATTCTATTCTAGCATTAGCCAGCCCAGACTGCTGCAAGTTATCTAATGCTGAAACAGACCGACATTTTTACTATGGCACCACTTTTAGCATTTATTAAGCAAAGTATCTGACATCACTGGTCTGTGCTGCTTAATGTGTCCTCACTAAAGCAGTGTTCTCAGGTTGCATTTTGTGTGCAGCACTGACACCTGACAGTTCTGTTGTCTGTTGGTTTAAGTAAAAGCACTGAAACGCCACTGTTCTGTTGATTAGGTAACAGTACTGACACCTGACAGTTCTGTTGTCTGTTGATTAGGTAACAGCATTGACACCTGACAGTTCTGTTGTCTGTTGATTAGGTAACAGCACTGACACCTGACAGTTCTGTTGTCTGTTGATTAGGTAACAACACTGACACCTGACAGTTCTGTTGATTAGGTAACAGCACTGACACCTGACAGTTCTGTTGATTAGGTAACAACACTGACACCTGACAGTTCTGTTGATTAGGTAACAGCACTGACACCTGTCCGTTCTGTTGATTAGGTAACAACACTGACACCTGACAGTTCTGTTGCTTAGGTAACAGCACTGACACCTGACAGTTCTGTTTTCTGTTGATTAGGTAACAGCACTGACACCTGTCAGTTCTGTTGATTAGGTAACAACACTGACACCTGACAGTTCTGTTGATTAGGTAACAGCACTGACACCTGACAGGTCTGTTGATTAGGTAACAACACTGACACCTGACAGTTCTGTTGATTAGGTAACAGCACTGACACCTGACAGGTCTGTTGATTAGGTAACAGCACTGACACCTGACAGGTCTGTTGATTAGGTAACAGCACTGACACCTGACAGTTCTGTTGATTAGGTAACAACACTGACACCTGTCAGTTCTGTTGATTAGGTAACAGCACATTGACTTGGTATATGGTATTTGTCTGGTCATTATCTGCTCATGCACTTACTCCTCTCTCAGTTGGCCCAACTCTTGTCTTGCAGCTGGTCACAATATGCTCCCTACTCAAACACCGTTGGTCCTAACCAGTACGTGGATCTGACCCATGGATGTTTGCAGATACGTAAGGAGTAGGCAATATGGTGGAAGCTCCACCACTACTACACTGCTTATGCCTATCCAGACCCTTTCAGATCCACAAGCATCAAAGAGTTAGTCCGGGCCAAGGAGGAGGGCTATGGAGTACGTTGGGACTGGCTGTTGCTCTGGCGTTTGAGCTATATGTTGTTTCCAGTCTGACCACCTTGAGCAACTCCTCACTAACTCACTATCTGGGCCCAGTTTCCCAAAAGTATCTTAAAGGTGCAATCAGCAGTTGTTACATCCATTTTTGGACTTAGAAGTTAATGTACCCATTGATTCTTGAATAATGTAACTTATAAATGCCTGATGAGCTTAGTTCAACTGTCGTAGCCCATCAGAACCCAAAATATAAGCTTGTTTTACACCAGTGTTTGTAAACAAAGCTCTGTCTGAATTTGAGAGTGATTACATTTCTCCCATCCTTCAGCTTTTTAACGAACCGGGGGGAGGGGCTTTGTTATTGTGTCTACTGCTGATTGCCGTTTTAAGGCTATGTTCAATGACCTTAGCCTTAAGATGCTTTTGGGAAACTGGGCACTGATCTAG